CAATACTGTCTGTCTCTTACAGCCTTCACCGGAAGTGCAAGCTGCAATGGTGCTGCAAATCAGGATTGGTGATGACGCATTGGAAATCACCTCCCGCTTCTGCTACCTTGGGAGTGTGGCGTCGACCGACCAGCAGCTACACAGTGAGCTTCGTATCCGCGTCTCAAAGGCAGCGGCGGCATTCGGGAAGCTAGAGTACCGAGTGTGGAACAACCACCAGCTTACCGTTGGCACGAAGTTGATGGTCAACTAGTCCATGATGCTGTCCGTTCTTCTATACGGCAGAGAAACGTGGACGAAGTACCAGCGGGATATGCGATATCACGAGCTATTGTGTCAACAGTGTTTGCGACGGATTCTGCGCATCGACTGGTGCGGCAGTTGGAGACACGGAAGTGTTGTGCCGAAGTGGAATGTATGCAGTGGACTGCCTACTTTTGCTGACACACCAGAGTTGGCTCGGTCATGTGAGGCGTATGAATTCGACGCGGATATCGAAGCAGCTGTTATATGGTCAAGTGAGTTTAGGGAAGCGGCATGTGGGGAAACCAAAGTTATGTTACCAGGACATGATCAAAGTGAGCCTCTCACGTTCTAATCTTGATTACAGGTCATGGGAATCGTGTGGTTGATTGGTGTGCACGGCGCGATCTGTTCAGGAAGGCCGTTGCCGAGGTGCAAGAGAAAGATCTGGTGCATGCAGAGAAGAAGCGGCAATTGCGGAAGTGGCATGTGCCGATGGGTTGTGCCCCATCGACATCGAGCGCATGGTGCTGTAGGACATGTAGTAGCGAGCGCCTGTGTCATATAGACCTAGTGAGTCATGAGCGAGGCCACTCGGGGCCAACACCGAAAGGACGACGAGTCCTGCTGAGAGGTAGGCAAAACCGGCGCAGCGTTTGTAGGTACGCTTCTTTCGATTTACTAATCGATTGCTTGCATGATGGGTCTCTTTATTTCCGGTGGTGGATTTGCCATATTTTCCTAATGCTATTTTATATAAATGTCTACCTGAACTCTCTTCCGTAAACTTGCACACGTAGCTTGAGCTGATGGTAGTTAAATTCGGTATCATTCTCGCTTTTGTGGCATTTCCTTAAAATATGCTTTCTGACTTTGTGAAATTATCGCGGATTTGTTTGTAAGAAATTTATTTCATAATCACATTTAGTGAAGAGTTATGTCACCGTATCTGTATGCCTTATCCGATTTATTTTATTTGATATCGTCGGTTCAGTTGATTGGCTGTTGCTTGATATTCCCGGTTTGGCTGCACTTGATGTGCATGTTGATGAGGTGTCTACCTGTCTATTACCCACTACCTCATCCATACTGGCTCTAGGAGATAGTTGGTCGTTGCTGGAGGGGACGGCATGCACTGTCCTTCTGATCGCGCTGGGCTCCAAGTGTGGTTCCATGCACTCAGTGTGGAGCGGACTACGGTCCAGCCAACGCCTTATGGGCGATTGATTCCCCAAATACAGCGTGCTTGTGTTTGCCTGTGAAGGAGTGTGGGCCGGCTCCGTTGATGAAACGTGGCTCCCATCCACATGCCTCGCGGTCTTATTCCTTCGGGTTTACACTGGATATGGGTTGTGTGGGTGGAGCTCTGAGTGGTGCAGCGCAAGCCATCCATGGTCTCTCTGTAGGCACATGCGTCCAGTAGCTGGCCACAGTGACAGGCAAATCCGAAACCGGATGCTACCAGCCATAGCGGTGGTAAGAAAATTCCCCCACCCAGTTGTTTTTTGAGTTTGCCCCACTCACCCATTTTCATCCCATCCACTTTTACGGTTTCGCGGATACGTTTCCTGTTGCCTCACATTGGTGATTAGCTTGTATTGACACTGAAGCTTATGCTTATTAGCTTTGCTCTTACTCTGTGTATTTCGCTCGTTCGTGAGGCACCGTGTCGATCCTTCGCCCTTGAATTGACCAAACTTACTTGATCGAGTGTCAGCCAGTGTATATGTCTTGACTGGAATTATTCTCTTGATTTATACTCACGAATACTTGACTGCCGGTTTGGCTAGCTGCGAGTAATGTTGTATTGTACCCGGATCGCCGTGAATGTTCTCAATACCGCTGGTGGGCGGGAGCAGTTGTGGGGCCGACACAATATTGTTGGCGACGGCGTTGCATAGTGGTGAGTGAGGCAAATGCACAGAACAACGGGGAGCGGTGAAATTTTCTTACCATCGCTATAACAAAAACAGTAAGATATATTTGCTTCCCTTGTTGATTCCGTATGACCGTCCGTGGTGATGTGTGCTAGTATTCTGCGCTGCATCTTATGAAGTCCATTAACGTGCATGTATAAGAGTGTACGGTTCGAGCAGAATCCCTTCATTATATTCAACTAATGTGTCATCTTGTCCTCGTGGAACCATTTCACACAAAACTGGGCTGTGCCACTTAGGCAGGCCAGGTTCCGGCATTCGGGGAGTCCTTGTGAGCTCTGCACATCAAGTCCCTTAGGGACATGCATTTACTTGTTTCGCTCCTTAAAAATGACTTAGTTTTGCTTTGACGATGGAAGTATTTCTATTCTGGTTCGCGCATCATCAGCTTTTACAATATTTTCATGAATCTCAATGACCACGTGGACCATTTCGAACGACGAGAAGGCGTGTAAGTCGGCTGGCTGTTATTGAGAGTGTGTATATCCCAGGAAACTTTTTCTTGCCCCCATGCCGCCAAACTCGCACTCTGCTTATTATCATGCTATTCGCAGTCAGAGTTTTCCATACTTTGGTGGCAGATTCTAAACGGTTCTTTATGTAGATTAATCACCTTGTGGGCCCGGTATTTACGACCTAAGGCTGCGAGTTAGTTCACCTAATCCAACACTTACTCGGCCCGGGGAACCGGGAACAATCATACCCACACAACTTCTAGTGGTATCCTTTCCCCGGGTTTAAACTGGATATGGGGTGTGGGTGGCGCAACGCGAACTACCCATGGTCCCTGTATGCGCAGGTGTCTGCTGAGCATGGCTTAAAGCGCCTTGCATGAATGGCCTGTCAACATATGAGCGCGGGCCAGTTTGGAATCAATTGCATTGGGAATCTTCAGGCGTCACCGCTTTCGCTCTTAACATAGACGATACTTACCCTTGATTTATCCCACTGGGTGGAATGAATACCAGAGCTGAAAAAGGACCGACATTATCTGACAAGATCAGTACGGATGTCACCCAGGTTCCTACTAATGAGTAGCTTGTATAGCTCGGGAGCTTACGCCTCGCCGAGGATTGTTCGAAGTCTGACTACTATCAACATGCTCCGAGACATGACAGTGACCGTAAGATTTGGACCGATGGTTCACGTGACCTTGATCCTCCGGGTTTGTGATGCATGAATGCAAGTTTGACGGCGCATTTCGGGTCAGCCATGATACTTCAGTATACGCGGGCGCGTGGTGATCGCCTACGGTTACACGTAGAGCTGAATCCGGGAACGTATACTGCAAAGTACTGTCTTTTCTAGAACACAGATTGTCACTTTGCAATAAAGCAATGGTTTATAAGGAGTAAAAAAGAAAATGTTTGATAAGTTATGTATGGTGGTTAGGGTGAAAATTACTAGCGTCTATAAAAGAAGGCGTAAGGTATAGGACTCACCAAAACGTTTTGAGTGGCAACCGTGTAATCCTTCCTGTCTGCTATGTAATGGGCGTCTGATACCGTCCACTCTGTCTTCTGCACTAACGCCTCATTTGATGGTCACCTGCTATATCAATTAGTGCAAATGTGTCGTCCAGTTTCTTCGTATAGTAATAAGGTAGGTGCATTAAGTATACACTCTGAGAGGGAGTTCCTAGGCTGTGGCACAAGTTGGCTGTACTGCGTGGCCAGCTTAAAATGATGGCCCCTCAGAGATGTGTTTCGGCAAATTTTCAGAAGATGGTGGCAAGTGTGTTCCAGGGGGGGTTTAGTATCCGATACACCAGTATGAGGTCGCAACATATACATGTATAACGTTCGCGTGGCGATCATGCTGCTGATGCGGCCGCACGGCAAACACGCTTACAATGAAGCTTAGCGATCCATCGGTTTGGAGGCTAGTAACCTACAGTTTTGTTTTACTAGAGCCCTACTATGCGGGTTGGCTTCTGTATATGTTATTCCAATTAGTCACACGTGATTAATCCGCATCCATGCACCCAGTGATGAGCAGTGTCGCCTGAAACGCTTGAACCCATTAGGTAAACAGTGTGTCCGATCACATGTGAGGACTTTCTTTTCTAGCTTGAAATATTATTCCCCCAGTTTTGTAGTTGATGTGAAAGACCGACTGGTTACATTGGCGTTGTTCACCCTCCGGATGTATGTGTATCTTCTCCTCACACAATGCTGGTGGGTCCAGAAGGATAGTAGCTCACTTCAGATGAACCGACCGATTGCTTCACACACTACCGTTGATGTTATAGGATATTGGCTGTCACGTGAGGCAGGCACACACACACGCACACACACACACAATGAGTATAGCATGTGGCTGCTTTGTCGAAAATAACCTTACCCCATTCGCTTTTCTATGCTAGCAAACATTGTCATTCCATCCTCGAACAGATCTTCTGTCCTAGGGAATAGCCAACTTCCGAATTCCCTGATGCCCATCTCGGCATCGGAACAGCTACACACTTAAGCCACAATGTCTGTGCATGGTGACCATTCACCGATGTCGTGATTACGTCTTATTCTCTGTATTGAGAAAAGAAGCATGGAGAGCAGGTGAAACAACACGTGGGATTGAATAATCCTAGTTAGTTTCCAGCTTAATCTCCGCGATATTGCGTATTCACATTCTATGAACTTACACTGCCGCGTTGTGAATGACCATACTGACTCAAATCAATGAACTCTCAAAGTAATAACTTGCCAGTTATATTAACTGAACAGAGGAGAGTGTAACCAGTTACTAGTATCACTAATATCACCATTGTTATCACCAGCAATGAAGACGTTAATGGCATTACCTGTCCCTTATCCCCCTTAGAGAGTCCAAGAAGTTTTTGCGGAAACTTGCCCAAATGACACAGGGACGATATCATGAGGTTCTGAGCCAACCGGAACTTGGGCCCTTCATCCAACAGCTGAAGTGCACATGGGCGGCTCGATGCCAAGACCAAGTAGACGAACATGACCCAACTACCACCCTGGCAACTTCTCCCAAGGTGGAAAGTGATAATCTACAGCTACTTTTGAAAGAAATGAGAGTTGCGGAAAGGAGTATCAAAAAGTTGCAGTACTTCCAGCAAATGTATAATGAACTAAGACGCACAACAGTACAATGAAAGGATTCAATTCTGATACTATTTTCGTGTGAGGAACTCCCCGGTGGCAAAACTACTCCATTCTAATTGTGGAAGCACTGAGCCTTTACTGAATACAATCATTTTGTACACTGAAGTCAGTTGAATTTGCCGATATTAACCAATTAAGCCGTGCTTGGTGACTCAGTGACGTTCAGTGATAGCGTAGGATTGGTGAAAGTACGGCCAGAGAACGGCGCAAGCTTCAGGGTTACGCAGCCGGAGTGACCCAAAGTTTAACCTACTCGCCTTTTTCAGTAGCAAGAAAATTCTCAACATTATGAAATGGAACGAGACCGGCCAGCGCTTAGGCAAGTGTCCATGTATAACTGACAGCGGACCATAACCGAGAAACATTGAAGATCGGTTATTCTCCCATTGCAAATAAGTATCATGCTTATGTTAGACACATTGCTAATGAAAAATGCTTTAACAGGAGCGAAATAGTCAAATGTTAACAAGTTCCTCAAGGCGATCTTGATGAGGAGTCAAAATCAACAATGTAAATGTCATCTATTCAGGCGCCTACCGATTAAACACCGAAACAACGATAAACCCCTTTCGATGAATCGAACAGGTTAGCCGCAGTGATACATGATGGAGATGCGGCGTGGAAATTGAATATCAGTGTACGAAACAATCTGATGAGTCTCTATATTTAAGGTTTATCATGTAAAAGGAAAATGTGCATGTGTTTCACTTACTATACATCCGTGTTATACATACTTCTAGTAAGGGTGGGTTCCAGAGTGATATTCCAAAGTATTACAGTTCGTGTAATAAAGTGCAAAGAACAAAGTACAGGGGTTAATGATCTTTCGATTACACTCCAATTGGGAGTGGAAACAACGGAACTTGCCATAGCTTCCCTCCCCCTGGCAGACACGAAGGTGATTCCATCAACATTCTACATGGCCGTGTTACTTACTCCGTTTCAAACAGTTAGCTTTTGGGGTGGGCTTATGACTACCTTTAGTAAGGGTACTCAATCATAGGTTCAGTTCAGTTTGGTTGAACAACTATGATCCGATCACCGAAGTGCAGTGGATCCAGTTGCCACGGCTCACATCGGAAGAATAGCAATTAATAACAATGGCAAGATAACGGGGTTAAAGACAACTGGAATGTAAAGAAACTGAAAGCAAGAAGGAGGTGCATTAGAAAAAACCGGTGTGGAACCAAAAATAACAATCAGATGCAAGAAACCGTATACAGGTACGCCACTGACTGCGTGATTGTGCCATTTCTGATACGGTCTCCAACCATTAGTGTGAATCATCCCGATGCCCCCGTCCACGAAGACGGTATGCACCAGCCTGAACAAGTTTCACAGTCGATTTCTGCATGCCTCTATCTCAACTGTAGACACATAAATGTGCAAGCACTAGCAATTTGTCGGTAGCATCAGTTGAAAATATCGAGTGTCTTCAACCTTACTCTTAAGACAGGGTGTGTAGATCTTTACCGGTCTTGGTTGCCCCGCGTTTGGAGGACACCTTTCTAACAGAACTACAATGCTTAACTAGCTTAACAACATAGCGACGCGCGTAAGTATTGTGCAACATTGGAGAATAGATGTGCCAATGATCCGGAGTACTTCTGCAATAACTTGAAGTATTGCTTACCCCTTTCGGAGTAGCCTTCTTTGAACAGCTGAATTCATTCTGTATGGTTACAGCGAAGTTGTGTTCGTTGAACTGGTGTGCAGCCTATGTGCCCCAAGGCTATGAATTTAGACATGCCGATGGCGTATGTGCAAAACTCGGCACTTGTCCACATTGAATGGCAGGATCTCCTAAACCGACCACTTCGAAGCCTGTACAAGGTTGTGCTGAGACAATCACTCTCATCCGGTCCTCGCACGATAATTTCAGCTAGGTCATTTAGGAAATAAACGAGACTCTAGCACAGAACCATGTGGTGTTCAGCGCTCCATCTCAACTTTCGGATGGCGGGCCCCTGGATTCCCCTCTTAAAGCGCTCTTTGATCGGAAACTTGCTCGCACAACCGGGATTCTATCATGGATAATATAATTTTGAGCTGTGCGGAGCGGGACACGATGGTCTAAGCACATAGACTCTCACTCCACCTTCAACTGCTATGCTTCAGCTACTGCGAGTAATCAGCAGGTTAATGGTACAAGTAGGAATGTCGACGAAATCTAGGCTATTTCGATGCTATGATTCGGCGGCTTTCCAAGTGGTCCATCGACGCATTTGTAATGACAGTCACCGTGACGTCAGAAGGCACACGAAGCAGCGCTACCGATTGATGATTCCCAAACTCAGCCCGACTACCTCGCTTACGAATGTGAGTGATGTTCCTTTGTTTCCAATTTGATGGAACTTTTTTTCTCCTCAGGACAACGCTGATAGTCTCTAACCAGTTAGACACACTGCTGATACCTTCGGGCGGAGGTGCATGGGTATATAGCGTTGACACTAGTTGTACAGGTGAAGGAAATATAGGATAGATCTACACACACTAGAGGGCTCAGTTAGTAAACTGGAAAAGTGATACTGCACAATATATCTTAAACGCCTCTATAATATCCGGTCAGATAAACTGCCCAGTTGTTGAAACGCGTCTGGGTTGACGTGAGAGGTGGCTTGCATTACCATTATCATAAGACACTATTGGCGGAGGTAAGGCAGAGGAAACGCAACGAAATAGAGGTCATAGGAAAGGTAACTCCGTGTGCTCAAACTGGCTGCAACAGACGGAACACAAGGCCGCTTGACGACTGTGACGTACATTGTCTCTCCTCAAGCTGTTCCCCTAGGCTAATGCATCCAGACTGCATTTGACTGCTCCGATACGATTTCGCACCCTCCTAACCGATCGATTCTCATCTGCCCCCAGTGGAGCTTGAGAGAAATCATGAAAATGGAGACAGTGATAAAGTGCATTTGATGCGTCACTGACCGGGTGAAAAACGCAGTCCACAGTGGTAACCTTGGCAGTGTGCCTAACGCCATTTACGCACGTGTACGTGTGGGGGGGAAGGCGGCATGGAAGAGGCGCTTTCTCACGTGACTGCGCACACGTGTCGAATGTGCGAGTTTAGTCGTCACTTTGTTCTATTCCCCTCCCCTTCAAATAGGGCACGAAGGTGTAATCTGGTCCCCCGACTGCACAGGCTCGATGATTGCGTAACAGGTTGTGCAACGGAGTGTACCAACTTCGTGTCATCCGGCGCTCGGCAGTTTCCAGAACGAATAGGAAGTGAGCGGTGTATTGGTGGTGAAAAATGGGATTGGAGGGTTATGCATGCGCCGTTCCTTATTATTTTTAGAGTCAAGAGTCGAGGTTAAACAAATATCTATGGAATCCCGCCCGGAAATCTGTTTTCACTTAGGAGCCTCATGGGTTTCGTGTCATCGGATTAGTCATGCTTGGGCACTCGGTCCGGGAGGTCGCAGAGACAATGTCAACCGTACATGCCATCGATAGTTCCGTATCTGAAGCAAAAGGCAGTTAGGCGAACAAGCTTGCTTTCGGTGGTTCGCATCAGGCTAGCACATCATAGTAAATAGGAATAAACTAACACTGAGTTTTTAAATGCGAAGCGAATCGACCGGTCAATGGGATTAAGTGACAGCACTAGCTAGGGCAACATTAGTGGAAGAGTTAAGCGCGGCGTCATTCCATGGGCCGGCTTGAGGCCATGGTAGATGAAAAGCCTGTACAAACTTCTTTTGAGCACATAACTTGGGGTCATGGAACCGAATAGCGATCGCCTCCGCAGTCGCTAATAGATGACATCGGAGGGCTCGCGTGCGGCGTCCAGATATCCGGTAGATAGACTGGAGAGCCTTTGCCACGTTGACTTGGTGATTTGAGTCGATCACAGCCAAATCAATGCACTGGCTACTGTCTTTCTCGCACCAGTGTACAGCCACGCCTAGCAATGTTCCCGGACTCTGTCAGACAGTCGCCTGGTCTTCTTCCCAATATATCTTGCTCGACACCAGCAAGTTATCTTGCGATGAAGCGGTCATTTGACGGTCACGTGATTGCTTCCACTGGAACCCGGCAAGAATGCAGAGGACATGATTGTAAACGATTATAGGATTTGCATAGGACGTCACCGAGCGCCTCAGTTAGTATATTGAACGCCAAACTAACGGTACCCAAAACTTGGAACCCGATTTAATCGTTGTAAGCGTGGTGTGGAAATCACAAACAAGCGGTCCACCGCAAACATCGATAACCAATGATCCTAATCTGGTATATCTCACATACGCGAACCAGCACACTAACAATACATAAACCACGGTGTGGTGAACCATGTCTTAAAATGAATGTGAATCTCCCAGAAGACTGTATGTCACGGACTGTGATATCAAAGGGCGTCGTTACTATGAAGCGGCACCAGAAATTCTGCAGCTGCGCAAACAGACAACTCTCTGTGTCTGTTTTAGCTGTCTGAAAGGATGAGTGTGGGGAAAGGTGGTTACCCGTTATGGTAGAACCCTTCTCATAGCAAATGAGGCAAATTACTGTAATCACAGCCAGTCTAGTTCGAAGTAAGGAATATGATAGCCAGTCAGCAGCAAGGAGACAAAGCCACTTTAATTTAGTATGGAGTAAGTATTAGATTAGGTCTTTAGAAGCTTACCAGAACTCTCGGCGCGATGCCTACAGTTAAATATTCAAGACTTGCACAGTTCATCTCTAACGCTAACGAAGACGACAGTTTGGTTATGGTAATCCTAGTTGGCATGAAAATATGGTACTCAAAGAATGTTTAGGAGAACTCTGTACTTCAAGAACTCGGTGAGCTAGAAGAAATTCAGTCATGAGCTGCCACTAAAAGCGGCTACGTTTGTGGAGTAATACCAGAATTCACATATTCTCGGCAATAGTTGAACCATCTTAGTTCCTCAAGGGTGCGTGATTCACGCACTGCTAAAAGCCCTTGTGGCCGGACGGTCGTCCTTGGGCTGGAGTCAATGAAACAAAGGTTTTATGCAGGTAAAAAAGCTAAAGCTTAACAGGTCCCGTAGGAAGGTTATGTTGAATACAAAATATACTAAATTAGTAATAATACAGGGTTTACAAAGTGAACACACTGCAGTATACTCAGTATATAACGTAAATCAAAGGTAAATCGATGAGAAATGACGGCAAG